AATACATTTAATAATTTAGAAGCAATAAAGATATTTGTATATAAAAACTAAAAAACATTTGCATAACAAAAAAATAAAAATTAAAGTGACAAATGTTACCTTTGAAAAATATTTGGAATTTAAAACACAATATTAATAAGGAGTTATTATCCCTACTATATAAATCTCTATAGAATTTTCCAAAATCATAGGAGAAAAAAAACTAGAGAAAAATAAGCCAAGAAATGAATAAGCAATTCACAGAAAAAGAAAAAGAATCTTAATTGTCCGAAAAGACAGAAACCTTGCTGACACGAGAAAGGTCAATTATCTTTAAATTAGAACTACTTTAGCTTACAGCTTACAGCCAAGATGTAGCGACAAGAACTAGATCTACCCTCTTGCTTGAATAACTGAAAAACCTAGACTGGCCCTGGCTGGCATAGCTCAGTGGATTGAGTGCGGGCTGCGAACCAAAGCATCGCAGGCTCGATTCCCAGTCAGGGTACATGCCTGGGTTGCAGGCCACGGCCCCAGCAACTGCACATTGATGTTTCTCTCTCTCCTTCTCTCTCTCTCTCCCCTTCCCTCCCTTCCCTCTCTAAAAATAAATAAATAAAATCTTAAAAACAAAAAATTTATGAATGAAATGGTAGAGCAACTGGCAGTTGCTTTAAAAAAAAAAACAAACAAAAACAAACCTGGACCAAGGGCACGGAACACTCGTGCTGAAGCCCCCGGACATCGGGCAGGGGAGGGCCTCACCCCCGAGAGACGGGATCCAGGGAGGCAGGCCCCGCGGTTCCCGCACTCCCTCCCTGGAGAGACTCCTCGGCCCTGCCTCAGGGAAGGGCGCCCCGCTGGAGCCCGGGCTCCCCAGGTTTGGGGAACGAGATGAGAGGCCGGAGAGGTCAAGGTGGCCAGAGGTCGCCAGGAAGAGCCTGGAAGAGGACAGCACCACCGGGAGCAAGAACCCCAATGACCTGCAGAGGGCCGCCCTCCACTGGCCAGGAGAGCACCAGCACCTGAGGCCGAGGGAAGGACCGCCCGGAAGGTGTGGAGGGAATGGGGTTCGGTGCCCCGCAGGGCGGGGGACAGAGCCGCCTCCCACCAGCCACACCTGAAGACCGTGTAAGCCAGGGGCCATTCTGTAGGGGGCCGGGAAGAAGCGCATCTCAGTCACGGGGTATAGTGAGTCACAGACTAAATACTGCCCCGGTCCCACCTCACCAGCCTTAGACACCAGACTCAAAAGGCTCAAAACATCTCCAAGTGCTTCACTGCCCCCCAGAACAAAGCTCAAGGCTGTGGATAAGAAATACAAACATATCTCGCACCTAACGAGCTAACGGGTGTTTGATTAGGAAACGCCAGGCGTGGAAAGAAGCAGAAAATGCGCTGCAAAGTGAGGAGGAGACGTAGTCGGCTCCACCCAGGGCTGCCACGCGGGGCGACGGATGGCACCACATGCCTGTGTTAGAAGAGAAGAAAGCTCGCCCGTCAACGACCTCAGGTTCCCCCTTAAGAAACTAGGGGGAAAAGAGGAAATTAAACCTGAAGTACGTAGGGTAAAGGAAACAACGAAGCCAAAAGCAGAGAGTGATAAAATAAAATTTAAAAAAAACAGTGGAAAAAGCCAATAAGACTGTAAGCTGCTCTCTTGAAAAGATAAATAAAATGGATAAGCCTCTAGCCAGGCTGGTCGGTAAAAAATAAATAAATAAACACATCGAAGGCCGATGATGAAGATCAGGTGTGAGGGCAGTGGCGTCTCTGCAGAGTCCGAAGAAATTAAGAGGAGAATAAGGAAACATTATGAACAGCTTTGGGCCAGTCAATTAAACAATTTAGATGAAATGGGAAAAGTCCTTGAAAGACATAAACTATCAAAGAATATTCAAAAAGAACCAGATAACCTGAGATGTTCTCTATCTTTAAGAAAATAGAATTTTTTTTGAAACACCTTCCAGTAATGAGAACTCTGGGCACCAACATTCACTGATAAATGGGGCCTAATATTTAAGGAAAAAATAATTCCAGTTCTCCCCATATTCTTCCAGAAAAGTGAGGCGAGAATATACTTTCCAGCTCCTTTCTTGAGGCCAGCAACACCTTGATTCCGAAACCGAAAGGACATTGCAAGGAGAGGCAACCACAGACCAATATTCCTCATGAACTCAGATGTGAAGGTTAACAAAACTTTAGCAAATAGAAATCAATAATACATTTTAAAAGGATAGTATATCATGACAAAGTTGGGTTTATCCCAAGAACACGAAATTGATTTAGTATTTTAAAAAATCAATACAAGTCATCCTATAAAAGAATGAAAAAGAAAATATGATCATCTCAACAGATGGAAACAAATGCATCTGGCAAATCCAACATCCATTTCTGATTAAACCTATTAGCAAGTTATGAATAGGAAGGAAATTTCTCCACGTGATAAAGGGCATCCATGAAGGACCTATACCTATCATCAAACTCAGTAATGAAAGACGAAAACCAGGAAGAAATCAATTATATCTGCTGTAACAACGTCTGTTAAACACTGGCCTGGAGGTGCTAGTTGGTGCAATAAGACAAGAAAAAAAATGTGTCCAGGTTCTAAAAGATGTAAAATTGTCTTAAATCAAGGACTCCATGATTGTCTAAATAGAAAAATTGATGAAATGTATAAGAAAGTCACTAAAACTAAGGAGTGACTTTAGCAAGCTTGTAGAATACAACAACAACAAAAAAAAACAATTGTGTTTCTATATACTATCAATGGAAAACAAGACAATCAAAATTTTAAAAAGCAATATGATATACAATAACATTTAAAATATTTAATATTTATGGATGAATCTCCTTAAAGTACACTGAAAACTATAAAGCATGATGGAGAGAAATTTAAAAAGACAATTTAAATAAGTGGAGAGCTGTATTCATGGGTCAGAAGAATCAATCTTGTTAAGATGTAAATTCTCCCAAACTGACCTATACACCCAACACAGGCTGAACCAAAATCCCAGCAGGCTTTTGGTAGACACGTAATTCTGAAATCTGTATGGAAATGCAAAGGACCTATCATAGCCAAAACGACTTTGTGGAAAAACAATGAATTTATTTATTTAACATTGCTGGATCCAAGACAGTATGGCTATCATAATCAAGAAACTATAATTGGTGTCAAAATAAGCCAATAGATCAATGGAACAGAAGAGAAAGTACAGAAATGACTGACTAGTATGTGTGTTTGTATAACTGATTTCTGACCAAGGTGTAAAGGCAATTTAGTGAAGAAAGAACAGCCTTTAAAAATGATGCTGTAGCCCTGGCTGGTGCGCTCAGTGGATTGAGCATGGCCTGTGAACCAAAGGGTCGCTGGTTCAATTCCCAGTCGGGGCACATACTTGGGTTATGGGGCCAGGTCCTTAGTGGGGGGCGTGCAAGAGGCAACCACACAGTGATGTTTCTCTCCCTCCCTTACTCCCTCCCTTATAAAATCTTTAAAAAAAAAGATGCTGCGACAGTAATTGGAAGTATATATGCAAAGAAAGAACCTTGACCCATAGCTGGCACAGTATTAAAAAAACTCAAAATGGATCATAGATGGAAAGCTATACAAACATATATTTATTTACCAGTGTATATATATTGTATACACACACACACACACACACACACCTAGAAGAAAACACAGGCCCCAAGCCCTTTGTGATGTTGGATTAAGATTTCTTACATGCCAAAAGCATAATCCATAATAGAAGAAGCAGATAAACTGAACTTCATCAAAATCCTTAACTTCTGCTCATAAAAAGGCACTGTAAAAAGAATGAAAAGATGAAATGCAGAATGAGAGAAAATATTGGAAAACCACATATTTGATAGGGACTTGTGTCCAGAAGATACGATGACCCCTCAAAGCTCAGATATAATAAAACAAGCAGCCCAAGGGCAAGTGGACGAAAGATGTCACCAGGGGCTTCACCGAAGAAGTGTAGCGGTTGGAAACGAAACACGAAACCCTGATTAAAATTGCCGTCAGGCCGTGGAAAACAGTGTGTGGGGGGTCCTCCAAAAATTAGAGGTGGAGCTTCAGGTCGTGTCTTATGACCTGAAGACCCCTCTTCTGGGTGCCTGTCCAGAGACACCCAAATTCGCTCACTAACATGGACGCACACAGGCACCCCGGCATCCAACACAGCACTGCTCACAGCAGCCAGGATACGGGAGCAGCCCGAGCGCCCGCCCACGGGCGAGCACACGTACACAGCGGGGTAGCACTCGGCCATAACGAAGAATGAAATCTCACCACCGGCCGCGGCACGGATGGACCTGGAGGGGGGTAAGCTACGTGGAACAAGTCAGACAGAGAAACACAGATACTGCGTGATTTCACTTATACGTGGAATCTAAGGGACAAAATAAGTGAACAAATGAAACAGAGTCTTCGACACAGAGGACAGACTGGTGGCGGCCAGAGGGGGAGGGGGCCGGGTGGAAAAGGGTGAGGGATGGAGACGTACAGACGCGCAGCCCCAGAACAGCCCCGGGGACGGAAGTCCCGCGCAGCGGCTGCAGCCGGTACTACTGTGATAACTGCGTACGGTGCCGGGTGGGTGCTAGCAAAGGTCAGGGCAAAGGCTTCGTGAAGTGTGTGACGGTCTAACCACGACGCTGGACACCTGAACCCAATAAAAACCAATAAAAGCAACATGGACTGTAAACCAAAAGTAAACTTCAAATGCAGGAGAAAGGACGAGGCCAGGGGGTGGTGCAGTGAGAATCCTGATTTTGCTACTCACTAGCTTCACGACCTCGCATAGACCCACTCCCCTTCCTGGGCCCCTGAACTCCCTCATCTGTGAAGAGGGACAGGTGACTCCGGTTTGAATCCGAGGCGTGCTCTGGCCCCGGCATGAGAGGGTGCACCTCGGGTGAGCACCCCGAGTGTGGCCAGCACCCGAGCCGACTCAACAGCAGCCGCCCCCACAGGGAGAAAAGTGAGTTCCGCCAAGAAGAACCCTGTGTAAAATATATTTATTTTTTTTAAAGTTCCTCGATACAATATGTAACAAGCGCAACATGTAAGAAGAGCGAGCCTGCGACACCGGGCCAGACGTCGCGGGGACGCGAATCGGGGACTGGCTGGGTCTCCTGCAGGCCCCTGGCGAGGGGGGAGGGGGGACCGAGTGTTCGCGCTGGTCCGGCGTCTCCTCGCGCCCCTTGTAAAGCCGAGCAGAGCGGGCCGTCTGGGAATTCCTGCGCACGGAGTAAACTGGGGCCTCGGAAGTCGGGGAGGGGGCTCGTTGGGGCGCCCGTGTCCTCCGCGGGCGACTCCGGCCTTCAGCTCGCGCAGCGCGAACACACGCGCAGGTGGGCGGGAGAGACCAAGCCCTGGAGACGCCGCGGCGCCTTCCCGCGGCGCCTTCCCGCGGCTAGTCCGCGCCCAAGGCCCAGGCGGCCTTCTTGGCGTTCAGGAAGTTCTTCTTTCTCCTGGGGGGGACGTGCAGGGAGATCTCCGGATCCTTCAGGTTTCTGAATACGAAGAGCCTCTCGCCCGTGTGGAACAGGTCCGTGGTTTCCGCCCCGACCACGGGCACGGGCACCAGCTCGCCGCTGGCCTCTAGGGACAGGTGCGGCCAGCTCCCCTTCCCGGAGAACAGCGCCCTCTCTCGGAGGGGGGGGCGTGTCTTCTTCAATACGCTAAAAAAAAAAAAAAAAGGTCACATGGACATTTGTGGCATCTGACCCTCCTGAGTGTCCTGCCAGAGGTCCCCAGGAAAATGACCTTTTTAGTCCCTGGGTCCCCAATCAGGAACCATTTTTTTAAAAGATTTTATTTATTTATTTTTAGAGAGGGAAAGGAGGGAGAAAGAGAGAGAGAGAGAGAAACATCAATGTGTGGTTGCTGGAGGCCGTGGCCTGCAACCCAGGCATGTGCCCTGACTGGGAATCGAACCTGCGATGCTTTGGTTCGCAGCCCACGCTCAATCCACTGAGCTATGCCAGCCAGGAGGAACCACTTTAAAGAAAGCTTTTCTCGTTGGTCCCCAGATGGCCCCCGAGATTGGCCGAGGCCCGCGGCAGGGGCCCCTGCAGACAGCCCTTCCCGACGCACAACCGAGACCCGTGCAGGAGTGAGCGAGCCTGTTGTCACCGCGCCGTGCGCTGCACACCGGCCGCAGTGGGAGGAGTGTGTGCCCACGGAGACTGGCGCGCGCTACGCTCAGAGCCCCTGCCCCTCTCCCGGGACCACCGCGCCCGCTGACCAGACCCGACGACAAGGCCACAGACAAAACGTGTCTGAAGCAGGAGAGGGGGACTCGCTCTGGAGATGCGGCCCGGGGCACCTGGGCCCCCCCCACCGTGACGGCGAGCAACCCCGACTTCCGTTCCTCCGGGGAGCCCCTTCCATTGTAACGGCCTGCATCTTGCTTCCGTGGTTGGGGCTCCGCATCCTGACCCAGTCTCTTGGGGACTAGGTTCTGAAACGCAGCCCACTCTCCGTGCCTCCGAGAGTCCCCTCGTGGGCAAGCCAGGCAGCACGATCTCAGCACCGTCTCCAAGGCTCTGAGCTCGCGGGCAGGGGCCAGGGCCCAGATCAGACACTGCCGTGGACATCGACCGTCCCCCACGCACACAGCGGGCATCACGTCGTAACCCACCGTGAATCCACGGGATGTTACTCTTGCTCCAAGCCTCCCCCTGTGGGCATTACTGGAGATGGTGGTGAAGGGTGTGCAGCAGCCTACAGCCCCCCTGCCCCCCCTTTCCTCTGCTCGCCGGGGGTGCAGTCTCCACGGTTAAAGGAGAAAGACACTTGAGAGGCCCAGAAGTGTGGGGAACAAAGGGGTTCGTTAGCTGTCCCAGGCCCAGGGCCACGGTTCCCAGCTGTAGACGTGGGCCTCTCCTCCCGGCCTCCCTGCGTTCCGGGCTGTCGTCCTCACTTCCGGCCCCGCGCACCTGGACGGGCGGGGTCGGCTGCACAGCCAGAACAGCCGCAGGGAATTACGCTCCTTCCCACGGCCCCATTAGAAAAGGACCCCCGCTGAGCATGAGTGCAGTCATTCCAGTGCTGATGGACGGCAGGCAAACATTCTCCCACCGAGAGCCGGAGGCCTGTCCTCAGCTCCCGAAGTAGGCCCACTCGGAAGGCAGATCGTGGTCGTCAAGAAGGCGCGGCCCCCTTCCGGGCTCCCAGGCAGCCTGGCCGACCCCTCCGCAGCCCACCTGAGCGCAGGTGCCCCACTTACCTCGCCTTCCTCTGGCGGGCCCACCGCAGCTGCTCCGACCCCTTGCTTACGAGCTCTCCGCGCAGTCTGCTGTCGAAGTCCCGCCACCAGCCCTGGTGTTTCCTGAAGGCAAGAAGGGAGTGTCACGGTTTTCAGGACAGAGTCTCCCAGCGAGCCACCACCCCGAACAGCCCCCAGGCTCCATCCTGATGTCAGGGGCTGGGGGTTCACGCCGTTTGTCCTCCCCCTGTTCAGGGCACGTTCATCCAGCACCTCCTCCGGCCTGGTCCGCACACGGTCTCTGCCCTTGAGGGGTCCCCAGGCCAGAGGCCACAGCCTGGGACAGGTGACATCCGTCAGGCAGAGGAGGGCTGCTGGGAGTTGAGTCTTGGCGTCCCAGCAAAGGGGGTACACGGAGTGTTCACGAAGCAATGGGCTCTGTGAGCTGATGTTCAAGGACCTCAGGTTCAAGTCAAGTCCCTAAAGGGTGGAGTGAGCCCCAGAGTCCTGTCTGTGCCCAGCCAGGCTCAGAATCCGATTCAGCTAGGTCGCACTGCCCAGCTGCCGGTGGACACGGCCCCTCCCAGGCCAGGCTGGGCCAGGCTGCCTCCTCCAGGAGTCTGAGTCCTGGGAGGAGAAGGCTGGCCCTCTGAGGGCAGTGTGCCAGAGAGCACGCCCCTTGGACACCCCCGGTCCTGCCCGTCCCAGGGACCAGGCGTCCTGACAGGTCCCTCTCTCACACACCCTTTCTTGCTTAGATGAGCCAGTCAGTTTCTGTGGCTTGAACCCAGACTCCCAAATGATGGGACAGGGCACTGGGGACACAACCGTAGTGTCTGCCTGCCCGCAGAGACAGTGACACGTGAACCATGAGGCCGGGCGAGAAAGACCTGGTTGAGTTCCACACTCCTGCTGACGGCCGGCCGCCCTGGGTGCTCTTGATCGGTCCCACGTCAGCCTGACTGCGCCTGCTCACCAGCCTCGCAAACGGCACTGGCCAAAGGGGCAGCCCCGTAAATAAGGTCCTTAGGGATGGCCCCTGGGCAGAAGTAGATTCCCTGGGATCATGCATGTTCCTGCTCCAGAGTCACTTCCAATACCTGACATTTGCACGTCCCTGCCTGGCTGTGCACTGGGAGAAACCACGTGGTGACAGGCTGTTCTCTAACCACCTCCCACCCAGCTCTCTGACCACGCCCAGCTAGGGCCACGCCCACCCCACCCCCCTGACCAAGTCCCCAGGCAGCCTAGCCCTCTGGCCACACCCACACCCAGCCTGGGCCACGCCCACTCCAGCCGCGTGACTGTGCTGCCCTCACCAGCGCTAGCAGCCTCTTCCCGGCCCCGTGGATGACCAGCCCTGCCCACAACTGTGTTCTCATGCTCCCACGCTTCCTCCCGCCACGGCCCTACTCTGCCCTCAGCCGGACTTCCTACCTCTGAGTCAGGGACCCTCGACACCCCTAATGAAACCACACTGCCCCTTCTTCCAGGAGAAATAACGTACGCACACACACACACCCAGGCAACCGTGCCATTTTGCCAGATTCACGGCTTCCAGACCCCCACCCCGGCCTCCCATGAAATCTCTGGAGACGCGGCCCCCACTGCCTGGCGCACAGCACTTCGGGGCCTGGCCACAGCTGCCCGTGCACCCCACCCCCACAGACTCTGTCCTCAGGCGGCACTGCCAGCTGCCCCCCACACCCCTGCTTCGTGCCCCTCCTCACAAAGGGCCGTTGCTGGCCCAGCTCGCACCCGGACGGGGTCCTGCAGGAGCGCATCCCTGCAGCCCCGCCCCCGACTGAGGAGAGGAGAAGGGAGCCCACGCTGGCAGTCCGGCAGCAGGGCACACAGCACCCAGGTCAGGGGCGTATTAGGCAGCCGTCAAAAATAACACCAATGAAGGTGTTTCCGTAACGGAGAAAAGTATGAATTTTAAATTGTTGGTCAAGTAACAGGAAGTGTAGTCTGAACAGTGGGACAATTATTACACAACGTGACTTTGCACATTGACAAAAGACGAGGGTCCCCCGGGGCTTGGAAAGATTCACAGTGACTTCCGGCACCTCTGCTGCTCGGGCCATGGCATGCGTGTGCCGTGGGGGCCCCACGCCCCTCCCTCCCCCGTTCTCCCCCCGGAGCCTCGCTCACTGATTCCCAGGGCTGGCGGGCGCCGACTCACCCCCTCCTGCCCGGGTCGGCTGGCCCCCCGACGCCGTCCTTGTCCACCGCGTGGTCCGGCTGCTTCTGGCTGACCGACTCGAGCACGGCCAGCAGCTCGGGCTGCGAGGCGGTGGGCAGCGCCACGCTCAGGAGGCGGTGCAGCGTGCCGGCCGGCACCATGGTCAGCTTGGACAGGTACGAGGCCAGCCTCAGCTCCTGGGGGGGCGGGGCAGGTGGGGGGGGGCTCAGGCCTCGGCCCTGCAGCCCCCATGAGCAGCAGGGTCTACCGGATCGCAGGCCTGGGGCAGTTTGTCCCGGGGAAATAAATATTTCAGTAGCTTAGTCTCAGAAACACGTCCCCACGTTTGCAGAGCTGCCAAAAAACCTATTTGGTCAGCAGCCTGGGCTCCCTGTGACATTTCCAAAGCCCTCGCCCGCCCCTCCTGACCGCTCCCAGCTCCCTCGCCGCAGCCAACGTCCTGGCCGACAGCGGCGGCAACCAGTGACGTCTCCTTCCCGTTCCGAGGAGCAAGGGGACTCTGGGGTGGGGACAGTACAGGCTCCGGGAACAACGGAAAGGACCCCAGACCAGTGGGCAGTTAAAGAAACTGTGCCGTGGCCACCCCGCCACGGAGCAGCACTGGGCAGTAAGAAGGGGGGACGGGGTGGACCCGGGGGCGCTGTGCTGCCTGGAAGAAGCCAGTCTCCACGGGTCCCCTCCTGCATGACTGCATGTGTATGGCACGCCAGGACGGACCCAGTGCAGAGGACGAGGGAGCAGTGGCCCAGGGCGCAGGGACGGGTGCGGGCCCCAGGGGTGGCACGGGGCACACGTGTGTGCCCATGGAACAGCTCTGTCTGCACGGCGGTGTTGGCTGCAGGAGTCCGCCCGGACACAATGGCACACGGACTCGAGAGCAAGGTCCGGGGCCCGGCTTTGCCAGGGGGCTGGCCTTCGGAAGGCGCGACCACAGCAAAAACTGAACGAGACAGGGGCGGGGCCTGGGACTCCCCCTGCGACTGTGGCAACTGCCTGCCGCTCTCAGATTATTGCAAAGTAAAAGGCCGGGAGAGAGAGTGGGCCCTGCCCGCCCAGAAGGCCGTGCTCTCACCTGGCCGTACAGGGTCGCGAAGGTGTCCGCCTCCATCGTCTCCAGCGCGTCCTCCAGCACGGCGCTGTCCTCGCGCTCCTCTCGCAGCCTGCGGGGGGTGCAGCCGGCGAGGGCCGCTTTGTTAGAAGGCGAGGCTACGAGATCGTCCAGGTACTTCACACAGCGGAGAACCCCACTCTGCTCTACACTGTGTTTGATTACATCCACGGAGAGGGCTGGCCAGAGGGCATCAGGGCCCGGGACTGTTGCTTTGCCGTAGCGTGTCGGGGGCGTCAGGGAGGGCCCAGCGGGACGGAGGGCCCCTTGGAGCGGAGTGGGCAGCTCTGGGCAGGTATGGGGGCCGCACGGTGGTGGCTCTGCCGGGCAGTCGTCAGCCTTGCCTGGAAAACGCCCAGGACTGGCTGCCAAGGCCGTGCTCAAGGAGACCAGGCTCCGGGGGCTGGTCCCCTCTGTGCCCTGGGGTCACAGCAGGCCTGGGGCCATCGTCCAAGGGTGTCCCTGGCTCGGGCCCCAGAGGCTGGGCGGGGGCACCTTTCCACAGGAGGGTGCCCTGTAAGGCTTCCCACCTTGCACACGAGGGGCTCTGCCTACACCACCCCTTGGCCCATTCAGGTTGGCACCACGGATCAGCCGCCCGCATCCTTGCTGGTTCGTGCCACCCAGCCCCCTGCAGGCCCCCTGCACATCGGACGCCTGACCGCCAGCAGCGCCCTCCACGGAGCACAGGGGGCGGCGGGGTGTTCAACAGCCTCCGTGCTGTTCCCAGGCCCGTCCGAGGCCCTGAGCGTCCCCTCCGAGCACAGGGACCGGCCCGTCCTGGAATCAGGTCAGTGGGGACAGGACCACACGCCCAGGCTGCGTGTACTCGGAGAAGTGTAACCCGACCAATTCAAACCACCCGTCACATCGCCTGTGTTACAGTTTGGTCCCCTTCCTGCCGAGGAATGTGTGCACAGCTTTTCAAAGATGGACCACCCTTTCCCCCTCGGCGTCACCCTCGCAGCGGGCAACTAGGAAGCTGTCAAAAATGACGTTTTCCGAGTGCTCTTCAAGTCTCGGACAAAGCTAACCCTCTCATGTTAATTGAAAAAGTAAAAATCGGGGTTCTGGCTGTTTCCCATTGTACAAAAGCGGATCTACAACGTGACGTGGCGTGACGGGTGAGGCCGGGTGGCCCGTGGTCCCTGCCTCCCCCCCCCCACCCGTGCCCGTGTCGGGGCCGACGCCTGGGGTGTGCGTGACGGGAGGGGCCGCCCCGGGGGGAGGGCACGTGCGACCTCGGCACTGTCTGTGCAGCTTCCTGAGAGTCTGTGATGACTTTGAGATAAAAAGTGCAAACACACTGTGTTCGGCCAAACCTCAGTGGCGTCAGAAAGAAAGCAAACGCAGTCCAGGACGGTGTCAGGGCAGAGGCGTGCTGCCCCCGCAGCAGCCCCGTCTGAGTGCCGGGACGGCGCCTCCTCCTTCGGCTGAGCATGAGGGGCCGGGTGTCCACCCCCCGCCCGCCCCTCTGCCACCAGGAGTGCCATGGGCCCGGCTCACCTCTGCTGCTGGTGCTCCAGCAACTTCTGGCTCCTGCTCAGGGCGTGCCGCAGCGCAGCGGACACCTGCCTCTCGGAGTCCGTGTGCTCGGGCTCGTTCGGGAGCCCGGGCCCATCCCCCGCCCACTGCTGCCAACTGGCCAGGGCCCGCTGCAGCTGCGCCGCCTCCTGCTGGGCCAGCTGGTCCTCCAGCTTCCTCTCCAGCTCCTGGAGCTCCTGCACAGCGGGGGACAGGTGGTGAGCACGAGGCAGGTGGGCACAGGGAAACCCCACCTGCTCGGTGTGGCCCCAGGAGCCCGGCTCCACCTGCCGCTGCTGGCCCCCTCCATCCAGCCTCAGCAAACTGCGTGGTGTGGCTGCACCACCATCTCACACCCCCGGGCCTCTGCTCACGCTGCCCCCTCCACCTGCAGGGCCTGCCCCTGTGGGTCTGGCCTGTTCTGAGTCTTCCTTCCAGCACTGGCTTAAGAAGAGCCTCCTCGGGGAAGGGCTCCCTCAGTGCCCCGAGACATAGGCCCCCTCTCCGCAGCATGCCCACGCACTGCCCACGTACAGGCCTGTTCCGGATGAACGCTCAGGCCCCCTCCAGACCCGTGTACGGAAGCCCTGACCCTGAGATGGGGTGGACTAGGAGGTGGGGCCCTGGGGAGTCATTCACGGCGGCGGGGCCCCTACAAGGGGGTCGCTGTCTCTGTCAGAAGAGGCAGAGGCCAGAGCCCCCTCTCCGCCATGGGAGGGCGCAACGAGAAGGCAGCTGCCTGCCCCCCAGGAAGAGGGCCCCCCCCCGAGACAGGACCGGCTGCCCCCTTGACCGTGGACTCCCAGACCCCAGAACTGCGAGCAGACACACATCAGCCGTTGAAGCTGCATGTCTCCGGCCCTTGGTCTGAGTGGCCAGAGCTGACCCAGCCCCGTCTCCCGCTTCCACAGTCGCCCGAAACCACCGCCCACGGCCTTTCTGCTGGAGCGCGAGCTGGTCCAGGGCCGGGCTGGGCCTCCCCCGCCCCGTCGCCAGCACGTGGCCCTGGGCCTGGCGGCTGGCGTCCGTCACGGACAGGGGGTCGCCCGGGGGCACATCCGTGTGCTTTACCTACGTCCGGGGTGTCAGACTCACTTTCACCGGGGGCCACGTCGGCCTCGAGGTCGCCTTCGAAGGGCGGCGTGAAATTTCAACTCCCGAGCAGTTACGGAGTAGTTACACGTACACAGTCCTAAAGTTATTCCCGCCCTCAGAGGCGACCTGGAGGCTGATGGCGCCCCCTCCAGGTGAAACTGAGTTTGACACCCCTGACCGACCTTAATCTCATACAACCAGCCCCTGGACACACGGCTGCTCTGTTTCACAGACGAGAAAACTGAGGCCGAGACACTTCGTCTCCACTCATCTCCTGGGGAGAAGGCAAGTGTCAACACTTCACCGGCTGCCTCGGATGTCACCAGAGCTCAAGTCCCGTGAGCTGCTACGCGTGGGTTTTTTTTTGTTTTTTTTTTTTCAGGTCTAGACTCGTCGGAACCGTGAGGCTGGGCGGCAAGAAGAAACATGGAGGCGATTCGGGGCGTGGGAGTAACGGAGACAAGAGGAATTACAGAAGTCAGCGTTACTCCGGTGCTTCACGGCATCGAAGGGGCCGGCCACCGAAAGCCTCACTGTCCCTGTCATAGTGAGGTGATAAGATAGAGCGGCCTGGGGCTTCGAGAGTGTGGTGTGCTCCCGGCTAAGAGACCTCACCGGGCACGACCCGGTGGCACCGACAGGAGGCAGATCAGGCGACCGGCACCCCACCCGCTGGCGGGTGCAGAACGGGGGGGGGGGGGCGCCAGGAAGAGCCGGCTGCCGGCGATGGCGCAGCCCCTCCCTCCCGCCGCGGGCCCGCACACGCACTCACGGGGCTGTGGGACTCCAGGACCTGGGCGCAGGCCGCTGGCGTCAGGGTCTCCGACATGCGCAGTTCCTCCAGCAGCAGGTCCTGGAGGCCCAGCAGGGCCGTGTAGGCCCGCAGCGTCCTGGCCGCCCTGGCCGCCTTCTGGAACTGCAGGGAGGCGAGGGACTCGGCGAAGCGGCCCTCCTGGGCCTCCAGCTGCTGCACCCTCTCCCGAAGCAGCTCCCCTCGGACCTGGGCAGGGGCCGAGCCAGAAGCCAGAGCATGGTCAGTGGTCAGCAGTCAGTGGAGGGGAGGGGAGAGAGCGGCAGGTTACAAAGGGCAGCCTGTTGGTTTCCGCTGGGCAGCCTGTCATTCAGGACTCGGAGGTAGGTCTTGGGTTTTGCAAAGCAGCAGCCCTGGAGTGGGTAGTTCCAGACCATGGGGGCCCCTCGGCTCACAAATGCCCCCCCCTCCGGGGGCCTTTGGGGTCCAGCGGTTCATTGCACATTTATCGCTCCTGCAGGCAAATCGAACCTTGTCTCTCTCCAGTGCAAAATCCTTCCGGGCTCCCCACCGTGGAGGGTGAGGTTCAGACCTCCTAACACGGGCTCCACAGCCCTCCCCACCCTGCTCCCAGGGAAGGGACGCCTGGCCCGGTCTGGTCGGTTCTGACACCGGCACCGCGCTCGGGGGACCCCCACCTTCCCCGACCAGAACATGTGCCCCCGAGAGCAGGGACCCGCACCGCCTCCGTCATGCCGCAGCCAGAGCCCGTCGGCACGGCGCCGGGGCCCGGGGCCTCCTCAAACCCGCACCGGACAAGGAACAGAGCGGCATGTGCTGCGGGGAGACAGGGTCGAGGGCGGGGGGAGTGCGTGGGAAGGACTGGGTGTTCCCATGAGGCTTCTGGAAAGAGGGGACACCTGAGGGCGGAGGCCACGCCTGAGGACAGCTAAGGGCCGGGTGCACGCATCCAGGTAAAGAAAGGTGGCGAGGGGACGCCCCCGGGGAGGGAAGGACGGGGCGGAGGAGCACCCCACAGTTGCCGTGCCTGGCGCCGGGACACCAGGCGAAACTGGCAGCGGGATGGGAAGTGGGCGGGCCAGGGAGGCTGGGCTGCTGTGGACACCCCGGGGTGGGTGGAGGGGGGTGCACTGGATGACGGGGGAGACAGAAGAGAAGTGACCCGTGCAACCCCTCAGTTCGGGCCGGGCACACAGAGGTGGTGGCATCTCAGGCGGCAGGGGGCGGCCTAAGGGTGACCCAGCGGCCTCCTGCGGACACGTGGGGGAAGGGGCTTCCGGACACAAGGAACAGAGGGAAAGGCGTGAGGGGAAAGGTCAGGTCCTTCCCACAGGACCACAGCGTAGCACGCGGTGTCTGGGGGAGGCGGATGGCCATGGCCCTGGGGGTCTGGACGCCCCGCAAACGGCGGCCGCCAGTCCTGCTGGGCGGGACGAGAAACGACAGGTGAGGGAGAAGCGCTGACCTTTTCAACCAGGTCTTCGGGAGCCGGTCCGTCAAAGAGCTGGATTTTATCTTCGATGCACTTCCTCAAAAGGTCTGTCTTGCTCTTACTCTTGGCGCGCGGCTTTCTCGCCCTGGACTGTTGCTGGAGGGGGCGACAGAAATCGGGGGCATGGAGGCGACGGCCAGATGTCCCTGCCGCCCCGGCCCCCAGAGCCAAGGAGCCTCTGCGCCCACGGGTGCGCCCCTGCAGCCAGCTGGAGCCCGGGAGGGGGCTCACGTTCCCAGACAAGCTCAGCTCCCGGGCCTTCGTCTTCACGGTCTCTGGGGGCCCCTCCGGCCAAAGCGAGGCCGGGGCCTCTGCTGGGCGGAGCTGGAGCTCTGCATGGGGACCTGCCCACCGGGGACCCCACCCGTCAGCCTCAGGGAGCTGGGAATACCGGGGGAGGGGCCCCTCCTCACGACGCTCACAGAGTAGTGGAGAAAACCATCGGGAAACACGAAAACCAGTAGCTAAGACACCCTCGTGTGGCCCGTGAGGGCAATGATGGACAGGGGACACGGTGACAGTGGATTATCTGGTGCTGAGTGGACAGGGCAGCGTCTGCAGAGGTGAATGGCCGCTGAGCAGAGACGGCCTGAGGAGGTGCCACGCACATGGAATGGAGCACAGACCCTCCCAGAACAGAGCGTGGGCAGCCTACGTATACATGCCCCTCTCCCCAAAGGTCAGGGGGCGACACGGCAGCCGGGACCCCGTGACAAGACGGTGTCAGGTGTGTGAAAATCTGCAAGGAGAGGGTTCCAGGCCCTGAAGCTTGGGGCTGGCATGGACGAAGGTGAGGTCACAGGTGCCCGGCAAACTGTCATTCAACTAATGAGCGAGTGTGGCCAATGGGACAATCTCTGAGCCTCGGTCTGCACGCCTGTGGAATGGGGGTCTGCCTCATCGGATGACACCACCACAGGACAGACACCAGGACAGAATGTAGCACAGCGTGGCACAATGCAGTGCCCCACCACGTGACACGATATAGTGCAACAGCGCGATACAACGCAACAGAACACAACCTAACATAATCTAACAGGACACAGCCACACGGCACGGCACAGCGCACACCTACGCTGCTGAACACGTGCACAGCAGGCTGGCCCTCCCGAGTGAGAGCCGTCTCCTCCCCTCCCCAGCCCTCCCCACCCCACTGCCCTTTCTCCTCTCTGCCCACCCCCGGAGGAATCGAGAGGCCACCGGGCCGTCCACCCTACCTGCAGCTCGGGGGCAGCCAGGGCCTGGTCCAGCTTCAGGGACTCCGCTTCCCGCCAAGCCGCCTGCAGCCGCTGCAGCAGCACGCGGGCCCGGATCCTGGGGAGGGCCAGGCTCCTGTCCATCTGAGCGCAGCAGCCGTGCAGGTCCCGCCTCATGCGGAGCAGCTCCTCCTCCGACAGGGAGAAGGCCGCCGCGCGGAGCCTCCTGGTGAAGCAGAGCAGAACGCACCGGGTGAGTGCGTCCCGTGCACCTGCAGGCCACCCCTGCTCTGCCCTGGCGCCCGCCATGCTGCCGAGGGCTGGCCGCTGTCCCTGACACCGCGATGCACTCCTGCCACTCGTGAAGGCAGGGAGGGACCCCGGCGGTGGTACGCCATGTGCAGTAAGACAGACAAAGACAAGCACCCTGTGATTTCACTTACAGATGGAATCTAATGCACAAAATAAGGAAACAAATAAAACAGAAACAAACTCGTAGCTGCAGAGAACACACTGACGGTCGCCAGGGGGCAGAGGGGCGGAGGGATGGGCGCAAGGGTGAGAGGCGTCAGGAAGTACAAGTCGCCGGTTACAGTCCCAGTCACAAGGACGGAGAGCGCAGCTCGGAAGTACAGCCGGTAACACTGTGACTGCTGTGTCCGGTGCCAGATGGGTACAAGGCTCCTTGGGGTGATCACTTTGTAAGTTACATGAACGTCTCTGTGCTGGACACCTGAAACTAACATGGTATCCTATGTCAGCTGTAATTGAAAAATAAATTTTTTAAAAAGCTTAAAAATTTTTTTAATATAGAAATGTGTTTTCATCCATAGGAAACAGTGGGGGCCGTGCTTGGGGTGGGAGCTGGACACCCACAGAGCGGAGGGTGCGAGCTGAGCTCTTGCCTGGAAAGCCCAGCATCTCCTGTACCACGTCCTCGTCCCGCAGTGCTTCCCGAGCACCTCAGGCCCGCTGCACCGGCCACGGCACCGTGCCGGAGCGGTGCATTCAGAGGCTGGGAGGTGTCTGCAAGGGAACAGCCTCCCAGCGTTCGTGACCTTGAAGACACCCTGGGCTCACTTTGGAGGCAGACATGACGACAACGGATCCTCCCTGAGATCCTGGTCAGCAGTGCACACTGCAGGCGAGGCTAGCAGCCCGCAGGAGAGAGCCCCACCCTCGGCTCAGGTGGGTCGGGAACGGGGGTCCCCCGCCCTGGGTCTGTTAGGACGGTGATTGTTCAGAGAAAACCTACTCCGTGCTGGAACCAAGCTGAGGGACCCACCGTTACGGGCTGACTGGTGTTCCCTAGAAAATGGGTTCGAGCCCTGCCCCTGACTACCGGCGCATGCGGCCTGATTTGAAAACAGGGTCTTTGCAGAGCCGGCAAGAAGCCAGTCAGCCCAACTGGAGCAGGGCGGACCCTCCACCCGGTGTGACCGGTGTCCGCGCATGAAGGGAAGACCAGGTGATGCCCAGGGCGGCGAGTGGTGCAGCGTGTCTACCAGCTGGCAGACAGGACAGACGCAGCAGCACCAGAGAGAGAGGCCGTCAGCGACCCTCCCGGGGGCGCTCAGAGGGGCCTCGGCCCTGCCGACTTCCGGCCTGCAGACCTGCGCCAGGACGCGCTCCTGTGGCCTCAGGCCCCCAGTGTGGGGGGCTTGGTGGCGGCCGCCCGGGAGACACGTGCATCTACCCACACCTTGCTAATCCTCGCCACTGCCATGCCGCTGGGGTGACAGACGTCCTGCCTCTCGGGGCCCAGCTCTGGCCGAGGAGACAGACAGCAGGGGGAGCCTGCAGGGGACCCCGGGAGGTCGGCCATGGAGGGAGAGGCCCTCCTCTCCTTTCTGCCTTGGGGGCTGCGTGTTCACTACTTCACTCCACAAACGGCCTCTGCCGACCGACAGGGGCCCGGGGGCAGCGGAGTTATTCTGGCAATGCTCCGTCAGCACAGGCTGCGTAAAGCACGCCCTGTGGGAGCTTTAAAATGCAGAAGTGCCTGTGGGGTACGGCGGTGGGGGCCCGGGCCAGGCCCCCCCATGCCCCATCCCAGCTCGGGGGTGCAGGACTGTGGCTCAGCGGGGACGTGCTCTCGGGAAAACAGGGAGACCACCGGGGCTCAGTGGCTCCAGCCAGAGTCTGAGGACCGAGGCCCCCACTGCTGACATCCCTCTCACGGGTTTCTCACTCCGTGGGGCCGCCCGTGGTTTTAAAGGACCTCAGGAAGCCGCAGCGGCTCCTTTGGGTCCCCCCCTCCACAGCCCCTGGGCCCCCTGTGGAATCCAAAGGGAAGGGAACCCCAAGATTAATGGGCCCCAGCATTCGTGCCCATCTTTGACCCAGTCCAGCCCAGGCGATGTGATCTTTCTCCTCTGTTACGTCGGCGCCAAGGTCACCCAGAAATACCGGACACAGGGCCTCTGACCCGAAGGCTCCGAAATCCAGGCAGGAACTTGGGGACGGAGCCTCCTGCCCGGGCAGAAATGCGTGTCCTTGTCGCTTCCTGCTTTATGTGACCAGGGCACAGCTCCGTCCTCCTAGACACTGGGAGGCTCATAAAAACGTGCTTCAAAACGACGGTGCAAAGCCATTTTTACTCAACGCCTCCCGCATCAAGGCCACAACCTGGTGGCACCACACACACGCACAGTGCACGAGCAGACTGGCACGGCGTGCATTGTCAGCGGGCCCCCTTTCCCCCGCGCACAGGAAGGTCAAGAGGGGCTGTTCGATAGCGGAGCGAGGGTTCTCTTTTCCCGTTGGATGCTGACTCGGTGGCGGGCCGGGAATCGGCCTGCAGAACGGATCCCGGTGAGGCTGGAGAGAGCGGCCACCCGGTAGCAGGGAAGTCAGGTCTGATCTGGACGCTTCCAAGAGTCACAGGGGGTCGGGGCGTGCAGAGGGACTGGGGTGGGGCGTGGGCCGAGCTGGGCAATCGCTGTTAAGAACAACGACCCTGGCTGGTGTAGCTCAGTGGATTGAACGCGGGCTGCGAACCAGGCATCGCAGGTTCGATTCCCAGTCAGGGCACATGCCTGGGTTGCAGGCCACGGCTCCCAGCAACCGCTCATTGATGTTTCTCTCTCTCTCTTTCCCTCTCTAAACATAAATAAATAAAATCTTTAAAAAAAAAAAGAACAACGTGTGGCCACAGTGAGTGGTGTGTAAGGGACTGATCTTCCTGGGCTCGGAGAAGACGGCATTGCGTGTGTTCGGGAAAACGAACGCTCTCAAAGACGCGGAACCAACTCCAGGAGGACGGAACCACAGAGTGAGACAAGGAGGAACTGAGGAGTCGCTCCATCTACACCAAGATGACGTCGCTCTCAGCCAACGCAGGGGGCCTGCCCTCCCTGGCGACAGAGCCATCCCCCGGGAACAGCGCTGAGTCGGAGGGGGCAGCGCAGCTCTGAGCCCAGGAGGACCCTGTTCACGGCGGTGACCGCCACCAAGCAGGGATGGGCGATCCCTCTGCCCAGGGTGAACCCTCTGCTCCAGGGTCCCCCCGAGGGTCCAGGAAGAGCCGATGGGGGACCACTGTGAGGGGCCGACAGAGCGGTCAGACCGACAGACAGGGAGGGAGACAGCCGGACTGACCGGGCACGCAGAGAAGGACCCCCCTCCCCTCCCTCCTCGCCCACCCCTCCCCCACCCCCCTGCACAGCCCTATGTCGGAGAAATCACGTGTTCTGACGACGATTCAGAATCTGAACTGTGGCTCAGATCCAACTGAAACCGTGGAGTGTCTGTACCAAGAACAGAAGAGTAAAAAAGTGTCGTTTTGGTTCCTTGCTTAAACAGGGTTTTCTTGGTTCATTTGTGGAAAGGAAAAACGACTTTAAGGGGTTTTGAGAAGAGAGGCTCCCTCCTCTTGTCAGAAATCACTTCCCACCCTGGGGACCAGGCGACGATCCTGCTTACTCACCAGAAGAGGGTTTAAGTCCCTGTCTGCCCGTGAAATCCTTCCAACAAAGCAGCCACAGCCCTCCCGTGGGAACCAGCGGCAGGGCGGGGGGGGGGACCTGGCCCTCTTGCTGCTACAACGCCCGCCTCCCGCAGCCCCCGCTTGCTCGCTGCGACCCCCGAGTGGCCCTGGGTGTCAGGCGGCGTCCTCCTCCCCGGGGCTGTGAGTGTCCGAGATGGATACACTGCCGTCAGCCTCCTCCTCCGTCCTGTGTTGGGGGCTGCGTGCCCCAGAACCTCAGGGCGGAGCCCCTCCCTCCCCTGCGGCTGGAGGGGACCCAGGGGAGCTCGCAGGGCCACCCGCGACGCAGGGCCACTCACGCGAAGACCAGGCGCCCCCAGCGTCGCAGCTCCGCCTGCTCCTCCGCGGAGGCCTCCGGGGCGTCCTCCTTCAGCCTCTGCCTCACGCCCTGGACGCCCTCCTGGTCCCGGTCCCTCTGCGCGCCCTCCAGCTGCTCGGCCCGGGCAGCCAGCTCCCGGCCCTGCTCCTCCAGCGCCTGCTGCAGGAAGAGCCAGGGCACGCCACGCTTGAGCAGCTCCTGGGTCACCACGGAGTTCTGGAGGCGCCGCAGCTCCTCGGTGGCTCTCTCGAACAGCGACAGGGTCAGGGCCCTGAGGTCGTCCAGGGCCGCCTGGTCCAGGCGCTCCTGCAGCTCCTCCAGGGCGGCGCTGTGCTCCGCCACCAGGCTCCGCCACTGGCCCAGGTACTGGCCCACGTCCTCCGCGGCGCGGAAGGCGTCCCCGACGGCCAGCTGCTCCCTCCGCTGCTCCTTGTGCTGCCGCGAATTCCGAAAGGGAGATGACAGGGGACACGCTCAGTACACGAAGCCATTCGGGAAACACTTTGGGAAGGTGGTTAGACCCTTTCCCCCAACAAGCTCACCTTTAGAAGACTGTCCTTCAGAAAAATAACCCAAAACCTTGTGAAAACTTCATTTGCTCGACATTTATCCAGCCCTCACTCATCGACACGGGCAAGCCCAGGAGGCAGACGCCATACCTGCCCCCGCCCCACCCCGCCCCGGGTTCCCATCCCGGCTTCTCCCCTGGCACGCCGTGCTGGCGGAAGCGAGCATCTTGCCCTCGCTGTGACCCCACTTCCTAATCCCTCCGGCGGGCAGGAGAGCATCCAGCTCGGAGAGCGGCATGGGGGTTCCCTCGCTGAGCTGCTCAGCACCTGCGGCTCTTGCAGAAGCGCCCGGCGCAGGGGTCAAATGCAGAGACGTCCACCATTATTGTTCCCACGACCCAGGCACCCAGTACCACGTCAGCCACCGCAGCCCCGAAGAGGGCCCTCATCGGACCCCCATCGTGCTGGCGCCCTAACCTCGGGCCTCCAGCCTCCGGAATCGTGAGGTGGAAATTTTTGTTGTCTGTCAGCCACTTGGGCTGCGGCATTGAGTGACAGCAGCCCGCACACGCTGGAACACTCAACCACTGACACTACAGCATTGTCATCGTTCGCCCCTGCGCCCTCCTCACCCAGGCAGCTGTCACCGCCGGCCGAGACCCGCTGCGGCGCCGAGGCCGGGTGGGACCTGGAGAAGCCTTCTTGACAGGCGTCCCCAAAAGTCACCGCCCCTGACGCCCAGATGGCCGGCCCCCCAGGGCATCCCAGCTGTCCCCTGGCCCTGGCCGGCGCTCGGAACGGTCGTGGGGAGAACGAAGGGCAGACGCCCTCACACACCTTTTGCAGCATCTCCCGTCTCCTCCTCATTATTAGTCTTTGGTGGAGCTTCTTCTTCTCCTGCTTTAAGTCGTTGTCCAGCTTCTGCTTTATGGAGAAGACCTCGGTCTGGGCACGCTCCAACAGCGCTTCCGTCTGGTCTTCATCCAAGTACCCGGCTCTGGGGGGAGAACACCGGGGTGGCCGCTCTCTCCCCGGCCAAACGCCCAGACGTGGCTGAGAGGCGGGGAGGGCGAGGCCAGCGTCGCTGCAGACAAGCAGACGGAGCTCGCACCACCGGGGAGGGCGGAGATGGGGCGAGACTTCCGGGAGGAAGCAGCAGGCGAAGGGGGGGCTGCCGTGGCGCAGGCAGAGTCTGCCCAGAGCGGAGGGCGGGCTAGGAACTCCTGGGCACGAGCAAAGTCCGAGAGGTGAACCGAGGGGTCATTCTGTGAGGGTCAGTTCTGTGTGTCCGTGTGACTGGCCACAGTGGCGGCAGCCAGTTTAAATGAGGTTTTCGGTTGGGCCTGGGGGGGTGTTTCCCCAAGAGGTTAGCATTTGAATGAGCAGACTCAGCAAAGCAGAGTGCCCTGCCACCCCCAGAGTGGGCGGGCCTCCTCTGACTGGGGGCGGGGCCTGGCTAGGGGCGGGGCCTGGCTAGGGGCGGGGCCTGGCTAGGGGCGGAGGAAGGAGGAACTGGCCCCTGCTTTCCCTGCCTCCCTGCTCCAGCTGGGACTTCTCATCCCCCTTCTCCTGCCCTCGGGCTGGAACTCCCTGGTTCTCAGGCCTCTGGACGCAGATGGACCACACCGCCAGCTTTCCTGTCGGCCGGCAGGACAGCACGCACGGGGCTTCTCAGCCCCCATAACTGCCGGGCCAGTCCTCGCGTGCAGGCTATTTTCCCTGTCTTCTGGAGAACCCTGCCGAGAGGCGCTCTGTCCCGCTCACTATCACCTCCCTAGTCTATTACTCCCCGTCAGTCTGCATGCCCACCCGGGCTGGGCCGCCTGCTCTGTACGGGGTAGGTTCTCCAGGGAAACCTCTGGAAGGAACGAATAGGTAGATGGATGAATGAACGAATGGGAGGTGCACGTTTCAGAACTAAGTCTGTGCGGACTTTCACGGCAGCAGTTACAAATCAGAGCCAGGACACGCTTCCCTCAGGGCAGTGCGGACGCAGCCGCCGCCGGCGCTTCGGTTCACGGTGAGGCACCGTGTCTGCACGCACCGGAATGAACATGAATCAGGAGCGTCAACTGCGGTGACGGACTCATTAGCATCTCTGGGCAAACAGCGCCCACACAATTTGCACTTACAGAATTCTCATTACATAAGAGCAACAGCGCTTCAAAGCCCTAATAAAATTATCTAGCGGAACCAATTCACAAAATCACGCTCCTTGTAAGAAACCAGCTTTAGAGTCCCGTCCCTGGTCATCTCAGGGCTTCTCGTAACCCACGGAGAGTAACTTGCATTGCTGACAATGAGGCGCCTCCGAGACTGGCTGAGGAGGGGCCTGGAGCGAGGGGAGGGGCTGCACCGGTGAGAGGCCGCACCCCACGGTTTCCCTGGCCACGTGGTGGGTGTCCCTGGTACCCGCACCTCCTCCTGGAGGTGCTGAGGAAGACCAACTGGAGTTTTGTGCTTCTTCCCAAAGGCAAATGCAGGGGGGCCAGTGGCGAGCAAGGGCCCGAGACCAGGGCTCCCCACATAGTGCCCAAGAGCCTCCACCATGGATTTCTTAGTGAAATGTTGGGGACCTGCTTTAAAACACCCCGGGGCGGAGACCCAATTCCATGTGGGGACCGGCCGTGAGTTGGCACCTCCTGAAGGCGGATGTTGGGTGCCCGGGGCTCACGGCACAGTTGTCTCAACTGTCAAGAGTTCTAAATTCTGCAGTGCGATGGAGTCTTACAACCAGAGAACTTTTCTTTTTTCTTTTTTTTTTTTAAATCCTCACCCAAGGATACGTTTATTGATTTTAGAGAAAGAGGGAGGGAGAGAGAGAGAAACTTGATGTGAGAAAAAAACATCAATCGGTTGCCTCCCGTATGCAACCCAACGGGATATCAAACCCACAACCCAGGCATGTGCCCAGACTGGGACTGACCCCGCAACCCTTGGGTGTACAGGAGATGCTCCAACCAACTGAGCCACACTGGCCAGGGCAAAATTTTTTCGTAAGACCTCAGTAAGGGGCAGCCAGGGCATGGATGAATGAACGGCGGCAGGCGGCCTGGACGGGGGGTGGGGGCAGGGCGGTGTACCTCTCGTGCTTCTGGACGAGGAGGGTCAGCTGGGCGGCGGCCGTGCTCAGAAGTCCCTGCGCGCGGGCCTCTGACGACTGGATGTTCTGCACCAGGTACTCCCTGTGGCCGAACCTCTTGCTCAGGTGGTACCTCTTGCTGGCCTGGAAGAAGTCCATTAGCTCTTCTACCTCCTCCTGTCAAAAAAGTGTCAAAATCAGGAAACTATGCTTAATTAAAATTCAGAGAAGATTCCCTACAGACATTAAAAATATTACATTTCCTGTCTCAAGACATATCCAGGACCAGGAGCACTGGAGGGGGGGGCATTTAACCCCCTGGGCCCCGGACAATGACACGTGAGTGAGGAATGAGGGCTTCGGAAAGCGCCTGGGCCCAGGTGGCCGCGGGTCACCAGAGCATCGTTACCGCCCTAAGACACAGAACGTAACTTCAGTCTCTCGGCGATGCGCCTTCGTTCCCACACACGTGTGCACATGTGCAGTTCCCAGGGCGCAGCACCAAGACTGGTGCCACAGTTCTGGGACCTGCCGGCCGCCGGCCCTGACCCCCAAAACGCCCGCACTTGTGGAGGGGACGAGAGGAGCACAGTCGGCTGGAGCAGCCAGGACTCTTCCTCCGTCGCCGGAGCGAGCAAAGCCCGGCCAGCGCGGCGAGTGCAGTAACCTGGCTTACACCGGCGTCTTCGCCGGGCCTGCCCCTGGGCCCGAGGCCTCCCTCACCTCATCTAACTTCACGGAGGGAGGCAGGCCTGTGACTCCCATTGCACAGATGAGGAAACTGAGTCCCGCCGCAGAGCTGGTAAATGCCCGAGCAGGGTTTGACCTCAGCGGTCTAATGCCACGGCCTGTGCTCTAACTTCCCAGAAGGCCGCCTGCTCCGAACACAGCTTCAGCCAGTGGCGCAGTAACTGCGTCGGCAGGAATTAAACTCGGCGGTGTTGCCCCACGGATCGGCTCTGCCAGCTTTTCCGTCTGGGGAAATGCTGTCCATGCAACGGGCTACTGAAACGATCAACACTTTGTTCAACGAGGCCCACTGGGCGCCGTGGGCAGTCTCCTTTCCACACAAAACCTGTCACGCCACCAATTTTGACAGCCGAGAACCCATACGTCTGGGCGGTGGAAGCTGCACGGGCAGCAGACACGACCCAATACCAGCGTCTCCCTGAGAGTCACGACAACAGAATCCATGTGTGTGCTCCCCTCAGAGCTGGACCCCCATGAGCTGGGAGTGGCCCTGTCTTCCCAAAGCTCACGGCGGTCACGTGGCCACCCCTTGGCCCTGGCCCTGGCCCGCTCTGTGGCACCCTCCTGCCCTGGGCCTGCGCCAGGGCTGGAAATCTGCACGCCAGCGATGTCACTGCGTGTGTGCACACGTGTGTACATACATGTGTACATGCGCTCACAAAGCACCCCAGGCCGCCTCCGGAGAGACTCCACAGCAGTGGCGACGGTCCCAGATCAACTGCTTTCACGGCCGTCCAGGAGGTCATTCAGCCTGCGTTATCGACATTCACACTCAAGCTCGTGGGCAAAAACAGGCACGAATTCACGCAGACGTGTCTGGGCACAGACTGTAAACCCTACACACACACACACACACACACACACGCACATTTATGCACACGCATATCCCTATCTTTTAAACACGCGTCGTACCGAGCACCGGCTTTCCTGGACCGGCTCACTAAACCTCGCCACTGCCCCCGGAGTGTGGGCGCCTTGTTACCCCCATCTCACAGGTGGGGAAACGGAGGCTCAGGCAAGCCGGGTAACTTGATCAAATTGACACAGCGGGGGAGGGGTGGCACTGGAATTCAAGTTCAAGTCAGCCCGGGTCCCAGGCCTGGGCTTCACGCCCCCACTTCCCCTGCTTTCGGGAAACTCACACGGACACTGGGCGGAGGGGGTGGGGGCGGAGGAAGAGAGCTCCCGCGTCCACGGCGCGGAAGGGGAGCGGGACTCGGCGCTGGGGGAGGAGAAGGCCCCGGGCGGCCTGGGAAAAGACCCCCCCCCCGGAGCGGCGCGGCTGGGGGCGTTACCTGGACGTTGGAGTAGTCTTGCAGCAGCAGTTCCGCGGCCTCGGGCTTCAGGTCCCCTTTGAAAATGGCACTTTTTATCTGGGCAAAAAAGATGCTGTGCAGCTCGTTTCTCTGGAAAACGGCCAGCTGCCGGCGAGCCTTGGCGAAGTCTTCCTCCTGCTGCAGCGCGAGGGACCTCCGCAGGTGCTGCTGCTCCAGGCCGTGCAGCGTCCGCAGCAGGCCGCTGCACTCGGCGGCGGACTACAGAGAGAGCAGGCGGATGGGAGCGGCTGACACGCCAGCCAGGCACACGTGCACACAGGTATGCACACATATGCACAGCACACACACGTATGCAGCATCCTACCGTGTGTACACCCATGCATACCACATGCAGACGCACACAGCACACAGGCATGAATGTGGCAACCCGCCACGTACATGCACACCGTGCATGTCACATGCAGACACACACCACACATGCACATGTGCAGCAACCCACCACACACATGCATGCATACATCACACTGTGCACACACATGTGTGCATGTGCACACACACAGCGTGCGCACATGCACACACAGTGAATGCTTGCACACAACACACAGTGCATGTGTAAACACAGGCACGTGTGCAGATAACCACACAAGCATGCACACTCCCATGAGACACACGTGCACACAGTGCACACGCACACAGTGCCCCAAGCAGACAACGGAGAGGCTGCAAGGCTCTGGGAGACGCTAACGTTTCCCAGAACAACCTCGTGAAGCAAGAACTTCACAGGGAGGAAATCCGCAGCTCAGACGGCCTGGAAACAGCCTGGAATCGGAGACCCCGAGGACTGTGCTGTTGGCCGCGCACGCTCGCTGCCGCCGTCTCTCACTCGTGACGGACTTGAGGAGAAAAGCACCAACAATCAGGCCCAGGTGGAGGCCGCTGGATGAAAATGGCGGCAAAGGGGTGTGGAGACACAGCCACGTGACACCTGCACGTTACGTGGTCCGGTGCGAGGAAAGGACTGGGTGGGACCGGGACCCGCGCTCCAGGGAGAGGGCAGCCCGGCCGGGACCCGATCGCAAGGCGGCGAGACCCGCACGGAGCGCTCGGCCAGGCCGGGCCCAGACCCCGGACCACGGAGGCTCGCGATGGCCCGTGGGAGTTGTTTTAAGTCGCTGAGCGTGTGGTGCTGTGGCACACAGCCGACCAAAAACGAACACACTGAGGGTGAGGGGGCACACACTCGGGGGCGCCGAGGGTCCTGCCCCATTTCTCTCCGCGCTCAGGAGGGAAGGGGACGTTCAAACCAACTCTCCAGGCACCGGGCTCTGAAACCACACAGACACGGCACGGTGCCCCATGCTGGTGGAGCCAAGGGAGGGGCAGTGTATCTGTCCCACAGCTAGGGGGCGCCACCATCCTGGGGTCCAAGGTCAAGGTCAAGACGCACATGGTCTCGGGAGGTGGGAGGAGGTGAGATGACAGCCTTGACTGTACTGAGCAGAGGCCGGGAAGGCAGACGGGCAGTGACGGCACAGGGCAAGGGCTGGGCCCCCTCAGCTACACGGGATCGATCGGGGGGTGGCTCCACACCGCCCGCACTCTCTGTTCCCGGGGACCCCAGTCACAGGCCTGCCGCCTCCGCTTCCGGCCACCCACAACCCTACAGAGGCGGAATCCTCATCCGCCCCTTTCCAGCTCTTTTCACGGACTTTTCAATTTGTCCAGAAGCTGCCCCAGAAAGTAGCCGGTGTGTGACAAGCCCTGTCCCCAGGTGCCCCCAGCGACGTGTCCGGCAGCAGCCACTGCGCCAGACACGGAAAGATATTCCGTGCGTGTCCCTGGCCACATCTCCGGGGCTCTGGCGTGGTTCCTTTCAAGACGGCGGCCGACACACCTCTTAGAAAAGGAGAGCTAAACAATCGGCAGAGGCCAGGCCCGGGGCCTCTGCAGAAGCAGCACTGGGCACGCACAGCCTCGCAGGCCAGCGCCCTGCCCCCGCACCACGTCCCCCAGCCACCCCGCACGGGCGCCCCAGCCTCACTCCACAGGAGCAGAGCCGGAAGGCACTAGAGTGGGAGGCCAGGTCTGTCTGACTCCACAGCCTGTGCTGCAGAGAGCACGCTGCCGTGACCACAGCCCAGAGGGACGCGCATGCACACAGACATCACATGTGGAGACCTTCTCCTCTCCCCAGGGCCTCCCGCGGCACCGGGAACATGGTGCTATTAGAACGTAGTTGAATGATGACACGTGTTTTAACATGGGAGGGTCCTTCTCAGCTACAGACTTCTTGAATGCAAACCCCATGTCCCATTTTTCTCTCTGTCTTCACAGCCCAGCCCGGTGCCTGAGAGACAGTGAGTGATGAATAAGTGCTTCCTAAATGAATTCCGGACAGATGGCTGGGTTGTGGGTGGGTACATAGATGGATGTGTAGACAGACGGGGGTGGACAAATGAGTGCATGAATGGATGGATGGATGGATGGTGGATGGATGGGTGGGTGGATGAATGGATGATGGGTGGGTAGATGGATAGATGAATGGATGAATGGATGGGTGGGTGGATGGATGGGTGGATGGATGGATAGATGGGTAGATGGATAGATGAATGAGTGGATGGATGGATGGGTGGATGGGGGGATGGATGGGTGGATGGGTGGGTGAATGAATGGATGGTGGGTGGGTGGGTGGATGGGTGGATGGATGGATAGATGGGTAGATGGATAGATGAATGGATGGATGGATGGATGGTGGATGGATGGATGGATGGTGGATGGGTGGGTGGATGAATGGATGGGTGGGTAGATGGATGGATGGTGGATGGGTGGGTGGATGGATAGATGGACAGATGGATGGATGGATGGATGGATGGATGTCTGCACGGAGAGATAAATGCAGGATCCCCGAGAGGAAGGAGGGGGCAGCGGAAGCCCGCCCTCCGGAGCTGCCTTACCCTCTCGCTGACACGCTTCAGCAGCTCCTCCGCCTCCTCCATCGCCGCCATCTCCCTCTGGTACTGGGTCTCCATCTTCTTCCTCGTTTCCAGGTCGCACTCGGCCGTCAACGCCACCATCTTCCGATCGTACTCCTCCTGTATCTCCTTCTCCAGCAAGAGGAACTGCTTCTTGAAAAGAGCGGCCATCCTCCTCTCCACTGGGGGGGACAGGTGGCCCCGGCCGGTCAGCCCGCGCAGCAGAAGGGCGATGACGTCTTGGCTGATCTGGGTCCGACAAGCCTCCAGGTCGGAGTCCGCCCGGTTCAGGGTCGCAATCTCCAGCCTGGGAGATACAGAGGTCGAGAGCGTGCCGTGACGTGACGTGGCAACAGAAAGCAAAGGTCCCCCAGAGCTCTGAGGTTTCCGACCATTTACAGGTGAGGCCTTCTTTCCCCCTTCCCCTCTGCCTTCCCCTCCCCCTCCTCTCCTCCCTCCCTTCTGCCCCCTCCGGAGACCGGAGGCCAGTGTCGGAGCTGCAGACTCCCCTCCAGCAAAGGGGGCAGGTGCCCTGCCGGGAGCGAGAGGAGCACGGCCGACACCAGCACGGCCCTTGGTGGCAGGAGACCACGGGAAAAAGCGATAGTTACGGTATTAGGAGAGTTTTAGAATCAAGTTTATTTTCATCTTTCCAATTAAAAATTAGCTTAATTTTTAATGACAAGTAAAGGTGATGTGCCACCCCGGACGGGATCCCGGAAGGGACAAAGGACAAGGGATTCATCTGGATAAAGCACGGACTCCGTTAACAGTGCAAGAACATTGGTTCACTCCTTGGAGCCCATGCGCCGCAGTGAGGGGAGATACCACTAATGGGGAATGGTGGGGGCCCCGTGTGCTGTCCCTTAACTCTCTGCGGGTCTAACCTGCTGTAAACAGCAGGCCCACTGCAGAAGCAGTCGGGGTGCTCACAGGGCCCCGGGGTCTAACGCCGGCCGGGGCAGCCAGGTGCAGGGTGCTGTCTGCACAGTGACACCTGGGACTGGCTCTCGGTGCGGGCGGATTGACGGGATGCTCGTTACATCTGTGTAAGTAACGCCACAGAAGGACGCACAGGGCTGTTCGTGATAGAGAGTCTGGAACACAAGGACACGGAGAGGCTTTCGTCCCCTCTGGGCCCACCTCTTGACTGGAACCAGCGGGGATACTCTGCTGTATTCACTTCTGTTCTGTCCTCTACGGGCACGTGTCCTACACGTATACACATGCCACACGTGCACACATGCCACATGTGCACACTGCCGGTGAGAACACAGGGGCGAGGACAACGCTGTCCTTTCTCTGTCCGTTTGTCACTGTGATAGGCATCTGCCAGTGGCTTAAAAACTGTCAAAGTTTCCTTTACGATGGCTGAAAGCATTTTCCCAGGCAAAGCCCCACAATTCAACCAACTGCTTTTCGGATGCGGCGCGCGTGGGGCGCTCGCAGAGCCCAGACCCTAGAACGGTGAGCTGCCGTCCCCACCTGGGTGAGGCTGCCGGCTCGAGGTCCGATCCGCGGTGACTTCCCGAGAGCGACTCCCTCCCGGGCCCGCGGGCGGGCATCAGCAGCATTCTGCAGTCTCCTGGCACGGCCTGCCAACGCGCTTTCCCGAAAAGCGCCCCAGCGGTGTCTAACGGTCTTTGAGAGTTTGACAGGAGAAAATGGCACTGGAGTCTAAAAATATAAAGGTCTGCAGAAAACTTCATGACAGGAGTTCGCCAGCCCGTGAAAGCGGAAAGAGCAGTGTGTCTCTCACCGCGGTCAGCACAGGACTTCAAAAATGGCCCCTTCTTTCCGGGCTGGCGCCAGCCCCTCCCTTCCACGCCGACCGGGGCGTTTCCAGGCAAACCCCAGGGCTTTCACTTCACCTGTAGTTCCTCGGTGTGCGGCTGCAACTGCCGAGAAGTTGTGTATGTGAAGGGCATGCGCAAGTACCTATGTATACCTATACATGCATACGTGTGTTCATGGGTTTCTTACCTGACCTGTGTATCATGCATGTATCATAGCATCGCATTCAAAATATTAACATTTATAAGCTCTGGCCGGGTAGCTCAGTTGGTTAGAGCATCATCCCAGTACGCCAAGATTGCAGTTCGATCCCCGGTCAGGGCACACGCAAGATGCAACCAGTGATGCATAAATGCGTGGGACAACAAATTGATGTCTCTCTCTTTCTCTCCCCGTCTCTCTCTCTCACATCAATAAAATAAAATCATAAAATAAAAGTTAACAACTCCAGTAAAGAATCAGTCATTAATCAAACTACCTCAAATGTCCCCAAATAGTTTTTACAGTCAAAAGGTTTAAATTCAAGGAGCCAACGAAACCCCACCGCATCCGCGCAGTGCGGTTTGCTCGCTGGCATTCTGCCCCCATCCCGTTTCTCCTTCCGTGCCATCGATTTGCTGGGGAACCAGGTCACCCCCCACCCCACCCCCGCACAATGTCCTTGCCCTGGACTGGGCCGAGGGCTTCCGCAGGGTGTCACTGTCCCTCTAGTCCCTGCATTTCCCATAGACGGCTGGTTAGACCGAAGGTCTTGCTGAGTCAGATCCAGCCTATTTTCCAAAACGCCCAGATGGGGCGCCAGCGCCCCCTACAGGGTCAGACCGTGGGCGGATGCTGTGATGGGTGGGCAGGTTCAAGTGCATCCAAGTGATGCCAAATCACAAACCTTCCCATCGAATTGCCCCCGAGCGGCTTTAGCCTCCCCTTGTAAATGCTACCTGGACCCACGACTTCCTTGGGAATTAAAAGAAGCACATCTTCTAATTCCATTGCTTCTGCATTTTTTTAAAGATTTTATTTATTTTTAGAGAGGGAAGGGAGGGAGAGAGAGAGAGAGAGAGAAACATCAATGTGCGGTTGCTGGGGGTCATGGCCTGCAACCCAGGCATGTACCCTGACTGGGAATCGAACCTGCAACACTTTGGTTCTCAGCCCGCACTCAATCCACTGAGCTATGCCAGCCAGGGCTCTGCTTCTGCATTTTTAAAGCTGAGATTCTCTTTATAAGAGAGACAACCTCCCTTAACAATTCGGCGACTCTGACATGAAGCTAAGAGACAGGACAGATGTTTGATTGTTTGCTAGGGAAAAAGCTGGTGTCATAGCAACCTCCAGGCGATAAGCAGCTTGGGTCTGTGTCTTCATGTGCAGGTTTTGTTCTGGTATGAGGGCAGAGGGCTAATCACACTGCCTCAGCTCCCCGAGAAGCTGCGCTTTGGCTAACGTTTATCTGGAATCTTCATAAGGAGGACAAATATGTCAAAATGTTGCACGCTACACAGTTTCTGGTAAAATGCCGGTAAACTACAGCTGGCTGGGAGGGCCGGCCGGTGAGCCGTAAGTACTTAATGGGCAAGCCACACGTCCAGCTTCCCTGGGTGAGGTGACTCCTGGAACCGGGCGTGTCCTTTGAGGGACCCGGGAAGCCAGGCCTGTGAGCTGTGGCAGAAGACCGGGGCATCTGTGGGGACTGCATCTCCTCGCCCCCAGGCTGTGTCCCCTGGAGAAAACTCCTCTGGGACAGCTAAGTGGGCTGCGGTGTGGCCTGCGGCAAGGACACCCACGGGAGGATGCCCGGCCCTGTCCTCACGGCGGCTGCGTTCCCATGCTCCGGCCTCTTGCTCGGGTGGGGTCAAGTGTCATCTGCGGGAGTCTTGTGAGCCCAAACGTTGAGCCGAACCTCGCAGGCCACCTGCCTCCCGTCATCAGGAAACCGTGGCTGTCCCTCGCGTGGTGCATGTCACGTGGTTCACAGCCAGCGTTCCGGCTGACGCCCACGGTGTATGGCCTGAGACCACGGGGGCTCACGTCCTTCAGACACGGCCCGTTCATCTGGTTTAACCCACAACGCGATCATTCCCCTCCTTCGTCTTCTCCACAAGCCCTTCCCGGATGCGTGCGCAAGCGCAGGGCGTGTTTCCCGGGTGACAGGGCGAGGAAGCAGCACAAGAGACGCCTGAAGGCAGAGCGCACCTACTTCCACACCCGGCGACCCCAACGGCGTCCCCAAGAAATCACAGACCTCGTGGAACGACGCCTCTGGCGGCGCGTGGAACGCTGGCCCCCACCCGCCCACACCCCATTTCCTGGAACCTGCGAGTGCGTCAGGCTCCATGGCTGAGCTCAGACAGAGACGAACGAACAACGGGGGTCTTTGCCGGTGGGAGCGGGAGGACGGGGCGCGGGAACCAGAGGGAGGCGGGGTGAAGGGAGCAGGGGCGGGAGCCGCGGGGTCGTCAGCATTGAAGGCGGAGGAGGAAGAGCCAGGCGCCAGGGAACGTGGAAACGAGGCTGAGGGAGGCTGCAAACGGATCCCGCCCTCGCACCGACATCTTGGTTTGTCCTAGCCAGAGGGACTCTGACCCCCAGGGCTGTGCGGTCATGCGTCTGTGTTGTGTGAGGCCACCAGGTTGTGGCAATCTGTTAGCGCTGGTAGGAAGCTCATTCACCCCACCCGACCACACCATCCTCATTCATTCATTCATTCCTTCATTCATTCATTCCTTCGCTCATTATTAACTCACACACGAACGTGCGGTGGCTGCCTGCTGGGTGACCTTCAGGTGCTTTACCGGGCACAGGGGATGAAGTGAGCAAGACAGCATCCCAGCAGGACTTTGCCGTCAAGTCATTTGCACTACGTGACCTGGGAAAGAACTTAGTTCCCAGCCCTGGCTGGCGTAGCTCAGTGGATTGAGCTTGGGCTGCAAACCCAAGTGTCACAGGTTCGATTCCCAGTCAGGGCACATGCCTGGGTTGCACGCCACAGCCCCCAGCAACCACACATTGATGTTTCTCTCTCTCTCCCACCCTCCCTTCCCTCTCCAAAAATAAATAAATAAAGTCTTTAAAAAAAGAGCTTAGTCTCCCCGCAGCATAATGGGGACCACACGTCTCAGGGCGTTGTTCGGGGGCCCAAAGAGACCAGTATAAGATGCGTGGGTCGAGCCTGGCATTTGGTCGGTGCTGAATGACCACAGTGCCCGTCCCCTCCGCTGCCCTCTCTCCGGGAGGCCGGCTGCAGACGGAGCCCGACCCCCAGGCCCAGCCTTTCCCGTCGCTTGGGAAGACACCCTCACAGGTGCTTTCTGTCCAAGTGTTTACGTCAATCTGGCCAAAGTGGCAACAATAAAAACCATCGGGGTGTTCCAGAGCCACAGAAGAAAGCAAAAATGTCCCTTTAAACCAGTTAAAACACCACGTAGTTCATGGAGCTGACTCTCTTCTGCTAATTTTTCCCAGCGGCCCCAGGAGAGGAAAACACACACTCAGGAGGCATCGTTCAGGTACAGG